ATTTTGAAAAAAAAATTTTTTTACTTTCTGCTATAAATATATATGTGATTTTGCACAGGAGGGCTGCTCTGTAGCAGTATATTAATTGGTTAAACAACACAAATAATCGTGCTTGGGTTAAAAACTTGGTTTAAAAACCCCATACAAATCTAATCAAGCAGCTGGCATAATATCGCAGGATACAATATAATAAACATGAAAAAAATGGTGCAGGTCAACTAATAAATAAATCTCTATAACATTTCAATTATTTTGTAATAAAATACTGAAAGATATAATAAACAGGCCCATCTGCAGTTAAGTAGTGTATTTCAGCTGAAAAAAAATTTAATATCGTCCACCTGTAAAGTCTCAGTGGGCTACACTGTAGATATTAGTGCTCAAAGAATGATGAATATATTATGAAAACCCTTCACCAACCCAGACACACAGCCTCTTACCAGAACATGTTGACCCCCCCTAAAAAAGGAGCGGTCAAACAGCTCTGTGTTGAACCAAAATGAACATCACAGCAGGACTCTGCAAAGATTTCTCCCAGGGCTAACTTCCATAGATTTCCATAACAATGCAGCCTAATGGGCAGGATTAATCTTCATGGATGACAACCCAAGGGGAGAAAACCATCTCATAGTGTAGTAAGCCAATATAACAAATTATTTATTCAAAGTAATGCACATACATATACCAAATGTTAAAATCCGCATATCACCAAACCAAGTAAGATTTTTCCAACCAACAAGATTGCTGCTGCATCCCATGCGCGATGATGTCGCACATCGTTTTGTCACCAATGACATCAGGGACGGGGGCTACATCAGGACATCGTGCTATATACAGAGCTCAGCATAAATGAGTACACCCCTTTTAAAAAGTAAGATTTTAATCAATATCTTATGAACACAAGAACAATTTCCAAAATTTTGACAAATTTGAGTTTTATAGAACATTTGTTTAGCTCATCACATTAAAGTAAGTTAAATAATATAACTACAAAATCTTCAGTTTCACTCAAATTAGTTGAGTACACAGCAAAAACTACTAAATCTAGTATTTTGTATGACCTCTATTATTTGTAAGGACAGCACCAAGTCTTCTAGGCATGGAAGTTGGTGACATATTGCAACGTATCTTTTTCCATTCTTCAAGAACGACCTCTTTTAGAGCCTGGATGCTGGATGGAGAGTGATGCTTGACTTGTCTCTTCATAATTTCCCATAGGTGTTCGATTTGGGTTCAGAGCAGGAGACCTACTTGGCCACTGAATCACTTTCGCCCTGTTTTTGTTCCGAAATGCGACAGAGGCCTTAGATAAGTGCTTTGGATCATTGTCATGTTGGAAAAGTGCAGGACGACCACCAAGAGCACAGAGTGATGGTAGCATCTTCTCTTCAAATATAGAGCAGTACATCTGTGAATTCATGATACCATCAATGAAGTGCAGCTCCCTGACACCAGCAGCACTTATACAGTCCCACAGTAGGACACTGCCACCACCATGTTTCACTGTAGGCACCATGCATTTTTCTTTGTACTCCTCACCTTTGCGACGCCATACAGTTTTGAAGCAATCCGTTCCAAAAACATTTATCTTGGCCTCTTCACTCCAGAGTGCAGAGTCCCAGTAGTCTTTTTCAGCATGGGCCCTGGCACATTCTAGGCGGACTATTTTGTGCATGGCCTTTAGGAGAGGCTTCCTTTGTGGATGACACCCATGCATGCCATTTCTCTGCAGTGTACTCTGTATTGTGTCATGCAAAACAATCACTCCAGTTTGACTTTCTACTTCTTTAGCGAACTGCAGTGAACTTGCATGGCAATTTGCTTCAACCCTTCTTATCAGAAGATGCTCCTGTCCAGGTGTTTATGTCCTGGACAGTCTGGACCTCTCTGTGAGATAGTTGCAGTTCCATCCTTTTACATTTTTGGATCACTTTTGCTACAGTATTCTGACTGATAAGTAAAGCTTTGCTAAGCTTCTTGTAACTTTCACCTTTCTTTTGTAAAGAAATTATTTTCTTTCTCAAGCCATGTGACATTTCTCTTCCATGTGGTGCCATTGTTGACAGCATGAAATGGGAAGGGGTTTTCTTTAAGTAACACCCCTTTATAATCAACTGTCTGCTGGACACCTGGTTAATGAATAATTAGACTCACCTGTAGTTGAATTCGTGTTAATTAGAATTTTGTTGCCTAACATTTAGCTTTGTTCCTAAGACTTCCACTGGGGTGTATTCATTTTTGCAACATGGTCTTGAAAGAATTTGTTAGGAAAAATACTTTTTTTGTGTGTGCAAATTAACAAATTTACTGTTTGCAATCAATGGCCTGCATTTGCGGGAGTATTTAGTAGTATAGTGTTCCACAGAAAATGTTGATTCTGCAAGAAAAGTAAAGATTTTCTGACAAATCTGTTAGGGTGTACTCATTTATTCTGAGCTCTGTACATAGGAGAGGCAAGCCACCTGCTCCTAGATTACTTTCACCAAGGAAACAGAAATGGAGCCGCATGGGGCCGGAAATGCGCCTCAGTATACAGATGTGCTCCAGCAGCTGTAAATGCGCTTCAAAGACAAAAAGCCCAGAAGGACTCAATCCGCCCATAACCTGAGCATCAGACATTGGGCCACAATGAAACACAAATAAGTAGGATTTATCAGCCAAAATGATTTACTAAAAAATAAATCATATATACCAAAAAATAATGGTAATATTAGGTCATCAGCATCTGCACCCAGCATCAGCACTATCTTGTGGCTGTTTGCAGAAACACATCTTAATAACATAACACATAAAAACAATCACAATAAAACCATAAAATAGATATTAAAAATAATAAAAGATGAAAAAAACAACCCACACCTGAAGGTAGACACAACATGGAGGGATATAGTCAGACAAAAGAATTAACTGTTGTTAATAAACACATTTATATCCCACTCTATAGTCAAACTATAGGTTCTCAAAGTATATATCCACCATGTTTCGAGTTTGGAAATTTCACGTCTAATATGGCTACCCCTCCAATTGCTGGTTAATCTGTTGATAGCCAAAAACAATGTACCCTTGGGTTTTTTGTTATGGTGTAGCACATAATGCTTCGATACAGTATCGATGGGAAAACCTTTCTTGATATTGGCAATGTACTCATTAAGTCTTGTTTGCAATGTGTGTCCAACATATTGAAGGCTGCAGGGACATTGAATGAGATATTCAACATTTTTAGTAGTGCAGGTCATGAAGGACTTATTATAAGAAACCATGTGTGGTTGCATTTTTATGGTGGTTCTACAAAATCTGGGGCTACATGTAACCTTAATGGAGGCGCCGCTCTAAAAACCATCAGGCCAGTGTCTAGGAGTAAAGGGCCTCAAACCCTATAATTACGCAATGCTCCCCAGTGTTTAAAAAGATATTTAGAGGGGTGCCTCCATTAAGGTTACATGTAGCCCCAAATGTTGTAGAGCCACCTAAAAAAATCTTCCTTTTTCTAAGAGTTGACTGGCTATTTTTCTTGTAGAAAATGTGCTGTTTGCAAAATTAATGCTCATAAATGTAGAAAATGTTGTTCCTTTCATTCCATAACCACACATGGTTCTTCAGCCAGGTAATTTTCTTCAATTGCTCTCTGGTCCACTTCTGATGCTCATTTGCCCTCTGTAGGTGCTCTTGGTGCTCTTTCAGTGATGCTCACTGCAAGGGTAGATGTTGTCTAATTTCTGGAGTAAGCTTTGAAGGTATTATGAGTTTTTAGTGATTGGGTTTAGAATTTGTTTAAAAAAAGAACCTGTCCATGTTACTTTAAAGACTCTAGGGAATATAATATAACTAGAAGAGTCCAAACCACAGAAAACTATGCAAAAGGGGATCTGAGGGAAAGAAAAATTATCCTGCAGAAAGGGCGTAGTAATTGTTGAGCCACTAAAAAAGAATTATGCATTTATGCGTAGATCCTATGGCCTAATGGGTTCAGTCAATGTTGCACTCTTTGCACCCCATGTTGACATTCAGAGGACCTCCTTCCACTTCAAATTATCAATGCACCAAATGATACTTACTAGTGCCAAAAGCAAACCTGTGTTCAACTGCAAACAAACTTGCATAGCGGATATCTGAAGGTGCCTGCATGTGTGGAGGTGCATTACAGATTTGGAAATAAGGTCAGAATTTGCAGTTAGGTCTCTCTGTCTCAATATTGACCCATTTTGGGGAAACCAAAAAGAGGATTGGGGGGGGGGGGGGGGAGTTTAAAAATTTCAGGTAAAAGCACAGAAAATAAAATATTTTAAATGCTTACTTGCAGTGGTTTTTCTTTTTAGAAGTTATGTTTTTTTTTTTATTATTATTATTATTATTATACAGTATTTATAAAGCGACAATAGTTCGCTCAGCGCTGTACATTACAAAGGGTGACAGAACATGTGACAGAACAATACCAATACAATGTAAAACATGAGGGGATTGTGGGCCCTGCTCTTTCGAGCTTACAATCTAGGAGGGAGGGGATGGTGGCACAGGAGGAGATAGCTGTGGAGGATGGAGTGGTAGGAAGAGTGGAGGAGGTCGGCAAGTTAGCAGGGGGTGGGGTAGGCTTCCCTGAAGAGATGGGTTTTCAGGGTGCGCCTAAAAGAAGAGGAGAGTAGGTGATAATCTGATGGGTTGGGGCAGGGAGTTCCAGAGGATGGGTGACACCCTGGAGAAGTCCTGGAGGCGGGCATGGGAGGAGGAGACCAGGGAACTAGAGAGGAGGAGGTCTTAATATGCAATCTGCCTTTAACTACTGCAGGAAGATTTGACTGCTCCAGAAAGAGTCAGTTCCTTAGCACAACCCCTGTTCCTTGTGGCGTGTGAAGGGGGTGTGTCCCTTCCCTCCCTCCAATCAGCTCTCAGAGCTCTCCTCGCGATGTAACTTCAGCTCCCCGCCCTTGCTTTTCAGGAGCTGAGAGATCATTGATCTTGTTGTAGTGTATTTCTGTTAATGATTTCTTTTCTTCCGCTGCACAGATCCTGGCTGGGCGTCCATTAACCGCGGTGTGCTGATATGTGATGAATGCTGTAGTGTACACAGAAGTTTAGGTCGACACATCTCAATTGTAAAACACCTCCGACACAGTGCGTGGCCATCATCCTTGTTACAGGTATGGAATGCCAAGTTAAAATAAAAATGAACAAAAAAGAATGTAGAACTGAACCATGCTTATTGTATGGGTTAGTCATAGTCCACATATGCCTAAGTGTTCAATAAAGCTGTTAGAACTTTTATACTTTCTAATATAATTCCTTGGAGAAAGTTGTGGGTTTAGGTGGTGCTAATTTTGTTATCCTAGGACAAAATATAGATTGTCTTACTTCCTTGTGTTATCTCTGCACCTTTTCCCTTCCACTCAGCAGCAACAATCCATAAATAATATTTATACGACCATTGTCAGGACTCGTTCACATTGTGTGTGCATAAAAACTAATGGAAAAACATGCAGATATGGCTTGCATAGGCTTGTTCACACCATATGCGTATTTATTATATTGGTCTCTGCAAGGACATAGTTGTTTTCCTGTGTGCCTTGTTCACACCATCACACTGCTGTGATGTGAGTTTTTTTCGCTACGTAGAAAACTGCAGATGCATTGCAGAGTTCTGCGCAGAAACAATTTGCATGTGATACCAGTATTATGCTGTGAACAGACACATAGAAAGCATTAGTTTTCTATGTGTCCTTGCAGAAACAGGTGCAGAAAAACCAACTTCTCTGCACATGTTTTTAGTCTTTGTACACATCATACGTGCATAAAAACTGGTGACTTACATAATAAATATGCACATCGCTGCATATGATGTAAAAAAGCCTATGTATGTCTCTACAAGGACATAAGGAAAACAATTGTTTGTATCCTGTTCACATCCTAACAATAGCATCATATGCAGATTTTTTTTCTCAAAAAAATGCCCATGAAGGGGGATGTATGCCTTCATTTTGGCATACACCAGAAAGCAGGAAGCAACTGAGGAAATGTAAAAAAAAAAAAAAGTTTAAAACACAAGTAAATTATACCTTCCTATTTACTAATGCTAGCAATATAAGCATTACAAATAGTTAATGTTGATTGAGAGACTATGTTCTAGCTGCTTACTCATCTGTAGCAGAGATAGACAACAGTAGATCTCCAGCTAGTGTAAATCTATTAAGTTCCAGCATCCTCCACCAGTTTCTGGCTGACTTTTGCCTTCTGGATTATCATGCTGGAATTTATAGTTCCAAAGCAGCTAAAGCCTTTTGTTACTTCCTTATTTTGTATTACAGTTAGTGAGATTTGTTGCTATTGACCTGGAACTGATTAAACTGTAAAAAATGACAGGTAGCTCAATTTTGTACACTGGTTGCAGTGACCTGTAATAGTCGCTGAATAGGTATGGCATTGTGCAATTATTCACAATGATCACAGGTCCCTGCAATCTCCGTGGTTGTTTTGGCTGTCGTTTGTCACAAAGACCTCAATCAGACTGGGTCAATAGTAGTTTTTGTACTATATGTGATTTTTTTTCAGTTAAGTTTTATCCAATAGATTGCTATGTTGCCCTGTATGACAGCATTGCCATGGAATCTTTTGTTTAAAAAAAAAAAAAAAAAAAAAATAGGTAAAAATCTCCTGTTGTATGTAGGATGTCTTGCGGGAGTTTTCCAATCTTTTACATTTTTAAGTAAAAGCCTTTGTTTAAATTCCCTGTAAAAAGCACATCAGAAAAAGAGCACTGTTATGCCAGCTGGATAGTTACCTATAAATTATATTTAAATAAAAGAATGGCTTTTGTTTAAACCGTTTTATTGACGTCCTTGACTCTTTGTTGCTTTCTATTTAAAGAAGCGACAGGGGACGGGGTTCAGTGGACAGTCTAGATGTTTATAGTTTCACATGTTCTTTTAAGTGTTCCTGGCTGGGTCCTGAACAGAGCGGGAGCTCCAGGACAGACTCATATCTGTTTTATTGTTATACCATTTTGTCAGTGTAAAGCTGGGACACTGAGAGTTTTTGAACCAGAGGGTTGAATGGAAAAAAACTCAGTTTCTTTGATCCGTACAAGAGAGGTGGATGCTGAGCTGTAGCATCTGATCAGATGCTGGTTTTCCAGCAGGACCATTCGACAGAAGCTGATCTAAAGATCTGCTTCTTTTTAACAGACAGGGCTACACACGGATTGAAATGTAGCCAGTTCCTGCTGAACCAGCCAAATTTCAAAACATGTATGCCAAGTTTAAAGCTGTAGTAAACCGCATCTTAAAATAAGAAAATCCCCTGCAAGGTAAAGTGATTATGTATATAATAAAACAGTGAGCGCTAATCCAAAAAATCAGCTAAGCACTCTAAGTAACCAATAAATTCTTGAACAGAGTAATATCAACAAAAGTGCAGCGCTAAGTAGTAAAGTCTGAAAAATGTCCACTATAAGTCTAATTCATAAAAACGTGCCAGATGCCAAGTAGAAATCAATGGTGGTGATCAGTGAAGAAAAGTAGAAATGCGCACTCACCAGAAGACAGATATAAGTAAGCGGTATGCATCAAAGCCCATGGATCCTCAATCAAGGAGAAAACTGGTGTGGTCAAAATGGGTTAATCTTCCTTCAAGGATGCAGAGCTTATCCAAAACAGATCCAGGTAGCCAGAGGTCTCCTACAGCTGAATGGACGGAAGGGGTCACCTGCTTACAGGGGGTCTTCCTCCTCTTGGTAAATGCCTGAATTCTTAGTAAAGGACTCTGCAAAAAGGTACTCCTCTATTTTTAATCCTCTCCAGTCACGTGATCCTGCAGCTCCAGCTCCCCTGTGTCAGTGACTGCCTGCTGCAGAGAGAAGGCAGGACCAATAATGGCTGGGCCATGCCTCCTGGAATTCTTCAGTCACTGACACAGGGAAGCTGGAGCTGCAGGATCACATGACTGCAAAAAGGTACTCCTCTATTTTTAATCCAATCCAGAGTCCTTTGCTAAGAATTCAGGCATTTACCAAGAGGAGGAAGACCCCCTGTAAGCAGGTGACCCCTTCTGTCCATCCAGCTGTAGGAGACCTCTGGCTACCTGGATCTGTTTTGGATAAAGCTCTGCATCCTTGAGGGAAGATTAACCCATTTTGACCACACCAGTTTTGTTTTCTCCTTGATTGAGGATCCATGGGCTTTGATGCATACCGCTTACTTATATCTGTCTTCTGGTGAGTTCGCATTTCTACTTTTCTTCACTGATCACCACCATTGATTTCTACTTGGCATCTGGCACGTTTTTATGAATTAGACTTATAGTGGACATTTTTCAGACTTTACTATTTAGCGCTGCACTTTTGTTGATAATAAAGTGATTATGTGCTAGCATGCATCATATATTAGCACATTCTGAAGGAGTTACCTTAAAACGAAGCCCTCCAGCAGCGTGCTGTCACCACTGACAGGTCTTCCATCTTTACTCAGTCTTCCGGGTTCACAAGCTCCAGCCGCCTGACTGGCCAAAATGCGATGATGTTACTTCTGCGCATGTGCGCGGGAGTCCCAGGCCAAGGCAAAGTGTTCAAAAGGAGCGGCACTGCTATGCTGTTCCTTCAGAGAGCATATGCTGGCTCTCAAAAAGATTGATTATCTCCTAAACGGTTCACGTTTAGGAGATACTCATTTTACAAACAGGTAAGCTTTAGTATAAGCTTACTTGTAGGTAAAAGTATATGAAAAAAGATTTTACTACCACTTTAAAGCCTAGATACCAGCTGAACAGTGGATTCCTCCTCCAACGCTAAACAGCAAGGATGAAGAAATTTTCCCTGCTAACTATTTTGCCCAATACAATAGCTGGCAAGGACTTTCTGAAGACTCAAACATTGACTACATATCATTGGTTACAGTCACTGTTGTGTTGACAGTTTTCCACCCAGCGCCTGCAATTTGTCAACTTTTATGAGCTGTGTGGTGCTGACAGGGCCATACGTGGCTCGAGTTTTGTTTGATTCAGCAGGAATCAGCCAAAATGTGAGTCCTGTATGGCCTGCTAAGTGATTATGCGAGAAGATTCTTGTTATAGTGTCTTATCTGGTAAATGTTGTGTGTCATTTAACTTCCATTGTTTAGTGCTTTTCCATTTCTTTTTTTTCTTTTTTTTTCAATTTACAGACAGTCCCCGGGTTACAAACAAGATAGGTTCTGTAGGTGTGTTCTTAAGTTTAATTTGTATGCAAGTTGAAACCGGTACATTTTTTAAGTTTTACTTCAGCCAAAAAAATATTTTTAAGTTTTCGATGGCATAGGGAAGGGTTAACTGGCCATGCAGTGATGTGGGATTGCTGCCAGGTCCACTGGACAGTAGGTGGCAGCATGCAATGAGCAGCAAGATGGCCTCCCGGCAGTTTTCTGGACCAGTGTGATGTCACGCTGTGTCATTCTTAAATATGAGTCGTATGTAAGTCAGATGTTTGTAACTCAGGGACTGCCTGTATAGGAATCTTTCATTTACATCTGGCTATTCAACTGTTCAGTTTATTTGTCCATCCAGTTACATAGAATGTTGTTTATATATCGCAACTGTGTCCGATTGGCTGCATTTCTTTATCAGATTACATCAACAGGTTACATTGCTGTCAAAATAAGTCTCCGTTCCCAGTCCCAAAAATAGTTGGGAATGTAAATCCCACAAGGATGATTTGGTAAACCATGAAGGATTTTTGATTAAAGCAGAATTCAAAGGTATTCAAAACACCATTTGTTCAGTTGTGTATACATTAAAAAAAATCTTTATTATATTTTACAATGCTGCTAATTGTTTTCAGGCACAAGCTACTAGAGAAGGAGGTGTTTAGGCAATTTTAGGGCTCGTTTACACCACAATCCTTGTGTTCAGTGTGTGGTTCCACATGTGTGGTTTCAGGCATTTACAATATGTTTGTGGTGTGTTTGCAATCATTTTTGGCTTTTTTTTTTTTACAGCATTGCATTGTCATGCATTTGCAGTGCCTTCATATGCATTCTGCGAATTCTGATGCAAAACAGTACAGTATGCTGTACTTTTTTTTTTTTTATAAACGCTTGTGAAAGAACTGCAATGGTTTAAACTAAGCTCATTGAAATACATTTTCTTGCCTATGCTTTCATACTGCATTTAAAAATGC